CATGAGAATGAAGAGATAGATCGAGCTATTGCCCTATCCCTTCTAGAGGAAAGTCAGAAGGGGAGAAACATGATATGTGAGAGCACGTATACCCCAAAGTTGACATGAATGTTTCTTTTTGCTGTATATTATCATATCAGTGAATTATTTGCCAATACAATATTCTTTCTCTTCCCTACTTATTCTTGTAATCTAACGTGCTATAATTTGAATTATTAAGTCTCTCAAATTATTGGGTAGATGATGAATCTCAACTAGAGGAAGATGAGCAACTTGCAAGAGCCTTACAAGAAAGCTTGAGCTTTGAACCTCCTCCCCAATATGAAAATGTGAATTCGTATCAACCTAACACAGTCCATTTTCCGATGGGATACAGGTATTTGAATTTTTCATTAACTACGATAAATGTTTCACCCCAGCTTATTTAATCAGGGTTTAACTAAGGGCTTATCTTTGAGCTTTTATCCTTTCAAATATATGCTAATAAATTGGTTTTCCTTGGCATCAATTAGGTTCGAAGATTTTTGCCCCCCGGATCTTTTCTTTCTTCAATTAAAAAATTGATCTTTTTGTAGAATTTGTGCTGGCTGCAATACTGAGATAGGTCATGGAAGATTTCTAAATTGCCTCAATGCATTTTGGCATCCACAATGTTTCCGTTGTCATGCTTGCAACCTTCCAATTTCTGATTATGAGGTAGAAAGTTACATTTTTAGTGGACCTTTTGGTAGTTATCAATGTTAATGTCTGTGGTTCTTTCATTAGATGTTTTATTGATGATAACTAATTTAGATGTCCACCTTTTTCTGCAGTTCTCTATGTCCGGGAATTATCGTTTTCATAAATCTTGCTACAAGGAGCGTTACCATCCAAAATGTGATGTTTGCAGCCACTTTGTAAGCTTTTTTTTTTGCTTATATTCAGTTTATTTTAAATTTGTTTCATTTGTAAGTCACTCTATGCATAAAAGATAAAGGTGGTATTACTATGATTTATGCATAAGTCACTGAAGTTACATATTACAAATGTTAAATGTAGCGACAAACTTATAGTAATACCAAATTATGAGTGTGTTTTTCATGTTTTCCATACGTTTTTACCTAATAATGAAATTCTGAGTGCTAAATAAACCTGAACATGAAGGTCATACAAGTATGTATGAAAACCATGCAATAGCGTCTTATGGATATATATGGTAACATGAAGCTTAGTTCATAGTTTATGTCGCCAGATCCAGATGTAGTTCTGAGTTTAAACAATGGAAAATACAAGTTGGAATTTCAAAAGGAAATTGATATTTAGGAAGTCCCTATATATATTGATATCGCATACAAATCTTTCATTGTATATTTTTTAACTTTTTTTGAAACAGAAGAATTTCCCGCTAGTCTCTCATTTCTGGTTGGTGTTGTCTTTCGGCATATATACTTTTGACAGATTCCAACAAACCCCGCCGGTCTTATTGAATATAGGGCACATCCTTTTTGGATCCAGAAGTACTGCCCCTCTCACGAACACGATGGTACTTCACGGTGCTGCAGCTGTGAGCGAATGGAGGTGAGTATGATGAAAAGCTTTTATTTAAATTACCAGAGTAAAATTTTGGCTACTATTTCTGAAGATGGTGAGAACAGGTTGAAAGCATGACACTTTTGAGTAATCATATGCAGCCACGAGACATGGGATATGTTGTCCTTGATGATGGACGGAAGCTTTGCCTGGAGTGTCTAGATTCTGCAGTTATGGATACCAAGGAATGCCAACCCCTTTATCTTGATATACAAGAGTTTTACGAAGGATTAAATATGAAAGTCGAGCAGCAAGTTCCATTACTCCTTGTTGAAAGGCAGGCTTTAAATGAAGCCAGAGAAGGAGAAAAGAATGTAAGTTATGATTTTAACTCTGAATGTAAGGCTTTAAATCAGAATACTCTGGGCATGCTTCTGCTTAAAAATTGTTTTTTTGGGTTTTGGGAAATACCATGTTTTCAAACTTGTCTTACTGCTTAATGGAAACACTTGCAAGCTATGTTACTCTGATTCGGGTATGAGTGTCAGTTAGGGATATGTATCAAGCTCGGGTTTGTTTTTCTCATGTAATTTAAGAAGAAGAATAAGAAAAGAATAAGAGCAATATAGCTGGTGAGAGAAAGTGTTATCTCCAATTTGTTTGTGTAGTGATTGCATTCTAAAATTTGTGTTGGCCAGGGCCATTATCATATGCCAGAGACAAGAGGACTCTGCCTTTCTGAGGAACAAACTGTCAGCACTGTAAGAATTTTCGAAATTATTTTTTGTCTTAGTGTTCGATGTAACTTAGAAAATTTCCATATCATCTTCAACCTGAAATCATCAGATTCTAAGGCGACCAAGTTTTGGGATCGGAAATCGAGCCATGGACTTGATAACAGAGCCCTACAAACTGGCACGAAGATGTGAAGTGACTGCAATTCTCATTTTATATGGCCTGCCAAGGTTTTGTATTGTTTTCCATAGTTGCTTCCACCAGGCAATTTCATGTTTTTTCTTTTCATCCCATTAATTTGCAAATGATGAATGCGAAAGCGGGAAAAATGTCGATATAAAATTAATCATAGCTGAAAGTTGATTCTATAGGTATCACGATGTGAGTAGTTTAAAAAGTAATGAACTGAAAAAGAGTGAATTCAACAGGAACTGCTTTAAAGAATTGGAGTCCTGATATCCTCTTCTTTAGCTTCCGACTTCTAGTAACATTTTTGCCCCTTTCTAGAGTCGTGCATGTGCAGATGATGCGGACTTCGATATTACTCTTAATGCTTCAAATAGAGTTACCGTAGTTGATGAAAAATCGAAAATATTGTTTATGTAGGCTACTGACTGGATCGATCTTAGCGCATGAGATGATGCATGCATGGATGCGACTTCAAGGTGTTTTGCATTTCCATCTTAATATGTAGGGCAAAAAGTGTTCCAGTTTTGAATCTGGAAAACATGATTGACAAATTTTGCTACTTGTTTGCCAGGTTTCCAAACTCTCAGTCAGGACGTTGAGGAAGGAATTTGTCAGGTATTAGCACATATGTGGGTAGTTAGTCAGCTCGATTCTTCTCCTCCTAGCAGTGCTATCGCATCGACATCATCCTCGGGCTCTAGTGGATTAAGAAAAGCGAAAATACCTGAATTCGAGAGGAAGCTTGGGGAGTTCTTCAAGCACCAAATTGAGTCAGATACATCACCTGTATATGGAGATGGTTTCAGAGCGGGGCATTCGGCAGTTTATAAATTTGGGCTTAGAAGAACCCTTGAACATATTCGGATGACAGGCAGATTTCCTTACTGAGAATCCTCCTAGCCCCCTAATTCTTAAAAATGGTTTTCCCTGTTCTTTCTAAAGAGATGAAAACCACGGCTATATCATATTTAATTCCAATTTGATTGCCTTTTTTGTACTTGAAAACAGGTCAAATCTGATGATAATTCTCCATGCTTGTTTATTTAAACAAGGAAAGAATATTATATGATATAACAATCTCCAACAAACATTTAAATCACCACATAGCTGCTCTTCCTCCAGCTCAACCGTTCAGCCTGTAAACCTATAAAGCCTCACCATTTCTTGACAGCTACGTCACTTTCTAAGCAAACCGACGTACGCTTGTAAACGACCTGAGCATTCAGCGAAGCGTTAGTGAATTGTTTAGTGGGAAATTCGTTTTTTTTTTAAACAAATGAACATGAATAAGATTTTATGTTCGGCGGAAAGTTTGTTTCTTTTTAAACAAATGAACATGAACAAAGAGTTCGCTCGTGTATTTACATTTGTGAACATTTGGTAATCTGTTCATTTATATTCGTTTGTTTACGTTCGTTTGTTTATATTAAGTTCAATCTCTAAATTTGTTTGAAATATTAAGATTTAATAAATTTTAACCTTAAATCCATTAATGTTTTAAAATTCAATTAATTTTAAACCCAAATAAAAATACTCAAATCAATTAAAGAAAATATAAATCCTAAAATTATTTGGAAAGAAAAAAACTCTTCTCAACTATAAACCCAATTAATTTTATTTTGCTACTTTTCATTTACGTTCGTTTAAGTTCTTTAGTTTTGTGTTCGCTTACCTTCGTTTATTTGTGTTTGTTTATCATTTTAATGAATGAATATGCATGAACACGAACAAGATAAATTTCTTAATGAATGAACACAAACAAGAAATTTTGTCCGTGTTCGTTCGTTTATTCGGTTAAAGTTAAACGAACGAACATAAACATACTCTCGTTCGTGTTCGTTTGGTTTATTTACATGCCTAAACAAACGTTTTCCTAGAAAGAAGAATTTTTTTTCTAATCCAATTCAAATGAAGCTTCCAAGAATGTAAATGAGTCGGGTTTGAACATATAAGATTATGTTCACGTTTGGTCGGTTTATCTTTTAAGGTGCTTATATTTGATTTTTGTTCGCTATAATTTTTAATATTTTGTTAGTGTTTGGTTTAGTTAGTTTGCAAACATGTTTATGAAAATATTCGCTGACGTGTTCGTTTAATGTTCACTAATATGTTTATATTATTCGAGTTCCATTGACATTTAACACTATCTTTTTAACCTTTTATTTCCAAGTCAAAAGAAAAAAATGATGAAATTATACCAATAGTCCTGAGTTCCTAGCTTTCAAATGAGTTTGTTCGTGAATAACAAATCATACTTCTATCTATATTGGATCATTTATTAAATAAACATAAATTTTTTATTTATACATGTTTATTTAACTTTATAAACAATAGTTTTTGTTTCATTTTAATACCCTTATTCAAAATTTAACGTTAAGTTTTGAAAACTTGAAAGTATATGTACTAAAACGGATCAAAACTGATAGTTTAGGTACTAGACGCGTTTAGTTTTTAACGATATGATACTAAAATGAAATGAAAACTAAACATTAGGCATAGTTTTGAAAAATTAGAAGTTTAAGTACTAAAACGAATCAAAATTGATAGTTTAGTACTAAATACATAGTTTACCCAACAATTAATCGAATATTTGGCTGAATTACTCTCCAACTTCCAGTAGATCATAAGGTACCCACAAAGCGTCCAAAGGGCAGGGTCTTTTAGCATCAAGCCTCGCCCATGGCTTCCCTTTTCCACTCCAATGTAAAAGACTAACCGGACCAGGATGCAAATCCCGGCACAGACCTTCAATATTATCACCCCCAAGACCGTGTTGATTCCACCTCCGATCTACCGGAGCTATATTTCCGGCGAAAACCAATAAAAACGGCGGCAATGAACCCAGCTCATAAATCCTCATTCTTTTCTGAATCTCCATCCATTCCTCGATCTTTCTCGTGTAATCCCCTTCCCTCCATCGATCAAGGTCGATCAGCATTACCCCAGTGTTGAAATAACAAGCTTTACGGTTCGAAAAAGTCGAGGATAACCAAGGGTTCGACCAAAACGTCGGAGTGAAGTAGGAGATGAAGTTGGCATTGCAATATTCCGGTGCCGCCAGGACTGAGTTATCCCCGAGTTGAGTTGCAGCGAGTATAACTATATCGTCGACGAGAACCAGGTCCGAGTCGAGGTACAAAACACGGCGGACGCATAAAGGAAAGAGATCGGCTAAGTAGCTTCGAGCGTAGTTCAAAGGACAATCCAAAGCGGAACGGATTGATATTGAAATGAGACGGGAAACGGTAGAGTCATCGAAAGGGTAGAGTTTGAAGTTGAGGTAAGGGAAGGAGGAAGATATGGTGGAGCGTAAGATTGACGCGTTCCCGGTGGCGGAGACAACGAAATGGAAGACGATGTTGTGGGGACAAGAGGAGTGTTGAAGCACTGAAAAGATAGCCGCCATGGATCCTCTGATGTAAGGTTTGTCGAGGGTCATTGCCACGTGAACTGCTTGGTCCGAGCATGAAATCGAGGCTTCGCCATTTGATTCGTCTCCATAATCAGTGGTTAACATTACAGGGCAATCCGGAGAGTTGTAGAACTTGGAGGCTTCTTTGAATTGCTGAGTTATTTTCGGTGTAGCGGCGGTGGTGGAAATGGCGGCGGAGGAAAAGATGGTGAAAGTTAAGAGGAGAAAATGAAAAATCAGCGATTGAGACATGGAAGGGGAAGGGGAAGGGGAAGGGGAAGGGGAAGGTTGATAGCATGTTGGGTTTTAATTTAATGCAACGAGAAAATAACATTTATAACATAAAAAAAACTCAAAATTTGAATTTTTGGTATTTTTTTAACCAATTTATAATATACCTCTGGGAGACGCAACAACTTCTTGACATTATGAGCGGATTATGAAATTGTTGGCATTTAATTTTAAAGTTTCATTTTATTTTAAGTAATAATAATAATTAATTTTGTTAAATAAAAGATATATTTTATAAAAATTAGAATAAATTATTCATATTAAACAATAATTTCTCCTCAATTTACAATACACAAATTAATCATTACAGAGTAAAATAAAATCATACAAAATGATTAAAAACTCGACCAAATAACTCATAAAAACAATAAATACAAACAAACATCACTATCAACGATGAAAGATAAACATGTGTCACACTAACATAAAAATACATATAATAGTGACGATTTTGACAAATTAATTTTATCATAATGCAACAATAATTTATTTTGTGATTGTAAGTCTCTATCAGTAGAAAAAAAATCAGCCCGTCAACTGAATATAATTAACCCTAAAAAATAATAATAGATTGATAAGATAATCAAATAAATGTCAATTGAAGAAACGATTGTCAAATTCAGAAAGAAAAAAAAATAAGAATATAAGAGCATATCGAACTTGTTACGTAATTATTATTTTTATATTAATAATTATGTGCCAAACATTTATGAATACCAAACAAGAAATTTACTAAAAATAACAAATGCTAAGAATACATGATTTAAACCAATTGATTCATACCATATGAGGAATGGGGGCAGTGTATTCCCAACCGTAAGCCATAGCTTATCCATTTGAGCATGCAACTAGGTAGGCAAAAAAAAGTGCTCGATATTATGTCCCAGAGAATAAATGCTAGTCCGTGACCTATAGTTTTAGAGAAAGTGAAGGTCACTTATGACTAATTGACTATAAAGACTGACCCTATGGACAGCTCGTAAAGCACAACAATTGCTGAGCATTTTGCATGATGAATTATAGGCTTAAATGGCTAAGCACATTTAGTCACAAAACTATGAAATGAATAAGAAATTTAACCTCAAGCAGTATTTAGCGAATTAACCATTTAGATGCCTAGAGTTAAATGAAATAACAGAAGGAAAAGAGAGTTACCTGACACGATGCCTAAATTTCCAAATCTGCAGGTTCACAAGACCTCCTTAGCAAATCCATGTGTTTAAAGCTTGATCCAACGACCTAAAAGAGCCACAACAAGACAAAAAAGGATCTTGAAACTGGTGGATTAGATAACACTAGGAGGCTAGCTAATCCAATGAGGCCATTTTAGGACCACATATCAATAAAAGAAGATAGCAACAATTCGAACCTGCTATAGCGTTACTGTCTTCTGAGGAAAGCCACAAATCATGCCATGGTTCTTTGAAAGTAGTTAAAAAGGACAAAACAAACGCTGGCCTCCACCATCATTTAGATCTTGTAGATCCTTTTCAAGTACCAACAAAACCAACTTATGCTATAGCGTGCATGTGGGTGCACAGGACAGGAGAAGATGCACAGAAAGAGAGTAATTACCTTTCCAAAATGGTGGGGTTCTATGTTCTAACCAACGAGCCTCTGACGAAAGGAAATGTCATTACACCATCATCAATTGCACTGTAACTACTGATATACACATCCATGTTTTACAAAGTAACCATGGATCAACGAGGCAAAAAAGAGCTAGTAATCTAATATGCATTGTCAGCACAATGAACACTAAAGCAGAAGATAGCATCAATACTAGTTAATAATTCAATTAAGAAGTAACCTCCCTTCACAAATTTGATAATTCCCTAAACAAATAATAAGCTGGAATCAACGACGAGAATCCACAAATCTGATTAACCAAACAAAACAAAGCAATCAATGCTGTATTTACCTCTCTAGTTGATATTCATAGTCCATGGCTCCATGCAAAATTAGCACTAGAATCACAACCTGGGTTTGCAAATTGAAGCTGTGTCATGAGATATAATATAAACAGCTATGCAAGCACAAAGAATTGATCTGTCAATCAGACCCAGAAAGGAAACCATTTCATTATCACTGTATAAGTAAAATGACAGTGGAAGCCGACCTTTGAGGATGAGATGACGAGTGGAAAGACTATGCAAATGCTTATATCAAAGCTTTAACTGCAGAAAGAAACAACTCACCTACACTACCAATATTTAACCTTCCACCTTAGTCCAACTCAGATATCCCCTCTCACATACTAAGGAAATAACCAGTGGCCATGGGATATAGAAGGCCAAGACAATCTATTTAAATTGCAAGAAGTTCCAACTCAGGAAATGCTAGGCACCTAAAATACTACTTCATTTCATGTTTACCCAACACTCGAAAATATTATGACTAGAAATAAGCTGAAAATACATGACCTTACTCTCATGACTCAAGAATTTTGCTGAAACTGTGTTGTAAGAAAAATACATGACCATTAGAAAACTATAAGAAAATACACGACCTTGCTCTCATGGTTAGAAACGGCATAAATACTAAACAAACCGACAACATTCCACATATTAACGGCAATCATCAAATGAACAAAAAATGAATATTGAAAGTATCATACAATAAATTCATCAATCACCAAGCAAAAAACAAAAACAAAAATGAAAATTCATTTATTATATTTACACAAGATATTGGACTGACAATTCTAAAATAAGTTGGCAATTCATGCTTTGATAGCAGATTTGGTCTATTGATAAATCATTGCAAAGATAACACAAATAATAATAAACAGAAACAGCATCTTCAGATATTGATCCTGCTGCCCTTGTGCAGTACGATGGTGGTGGTGATGATATCCGTGAGCATGGCCACCATGATATGAATGTTGAAACCCATATGGAAACCCAGCAGCTGGGCCAAACATGGCCGCATCAGGAAATCCATGGACCTGAAGGTTAAACAGTGATGGAAGAAGACCACCAAAATCGGCAGATAATGTGAAATTTCCAAACCTCGCCGATGCCAACGGTGCAAAGCCTCCCATGAACCCGAATCCATTTTGGGGAAACTGATTTGGATCAATTCGGAATATTAACACCTGGGATAGATTTCGACCTAGGATCTGTAGACGACTTTCCCCTTCCATACAAAGGTACCTTTCTTCCTCCACAAGGGCCTTGCAAACAGGAATGAATATGAAGCACATAAAGTGACAATGGGGTCTTGCGCTAAGTCAAAGCAGATATTGCATTCAAAATTGCCAGCATCAGCATTTGCATTGTTGCTAGAGCAAGATGGATTCTGGGGCGAATGGCTCGCAGATCCCCCAAACCGACTTGCCATTTCTCAGACTTCCTACACGCAGATTCCTATAAAAATCAAATTCATACCAGATCAAACACCAAACGTACAATTAACTAGTATCATCAGTTTCACCAGGAAATGCAAGAATACAGAAACGATAGAATTTTCCGAAAATATGAAGGATGTCATACCGAAATCAAAGCCTATAAATGTTCATATGCTTGTTGGGACATTAAATAATCTCAAATTAAAAAAAAACACAGATTTCTTATGAAAATCAGCATAGCTAATTAAAAAAACGCACACAATTAATGACGATTAATCAAAGATAAATATCGGAATTCAACGGTAATAAAAATGAAAAAGAAAAAACAAATCTGGCATTTAAAAACTAAAAAGATAGGGAGAAATTAAATTACTGACCTTCGAATAGATTAAGGGGGTCAAAGGCTTCTTAAGGGTATCCAACACCTCCTCGGGGGAAAACTATAAATCCTCAGCCCATGCTGCCACGACCAAGCGAGCTTCGTCATGTTGTATGTCGCTCTGTTATTTTCCCAGACCACGTGTACAAACTTCAACCTCCAACTACGAGCCATAAAATCCATCAGATGCAGAACCAGTGAGGAAATTCTCTCCATAGATGTACCTCTTTGTAGGAGGAGCCAAGCATCCATGCTATCCAATTCAATAATAACTTCTCTCAAATCGCTGTCCCATGCCAACGATAATCCATCCAAAACTCCCCACAACTCGGCCTCAAGCACGGAACACACCCCAATACTCCTAGCAAAACCACCAATCCATACCCTCTGCGTTCCGAATCACCCCATGACATACCGCACCACCTGTCAACGTATTCTGGGGCCCATCCGTGTTTACCTTGCACCAACCCGGGGTTGGCGGTTGCACACTATTTTGCCTTTAATATAAGAATTATGTATTATGCGTCTCCGATATGATTTACACTATTATGCCTTTGTTGTGTTTATGTGCCCCTTCTTGCATTGTATACATCTATGATACAATTTGTACATTAAGAATCTCTTATACAAGTTACTTTTCTAAGATATGAATACCATAGTAATTAACTGATAACACGTATAATGTTGAAAATACCATATTATGATCACATATTATAGTCTCTTCATATTATGTAGCTGTCAGATTTCATCTACATTAAATTTAACAATTTTATTCTAACATTATATATATATATATATATATATATATATCATGTACTAAAAAAAATTAACACCATGATAGATTATTTTATCCATTTTTTAGAATACATATTAAAGTTGATAATAAATTTAAAAAATTATTTCAATTAATTAATTATAATGTTTATATTATAATTGAAATATTTTTAGATAATAGAGGAATTAAAATAATTTGGTGTAGTATAGAATTAACATTTAAATAATCAATAATATGATGTTTATTAACTCTAGCCGCTTTCCTCCTCCCCATCTCTTTTTTCTTTTTTTTTTCTTTTTTACAATTTATGTTAATTTTATTGATCATTTCGGCGACGACATCGGGTTTAATGCTGATTACTGCTTGTCTGTTATTTTTTTATTATTATTTTTTAATAAGAATAATTATGATTTTGTGACATGTTCTCTGTCTTTCTAGAATATTTTTTTGTCTTTTGGTAGCTTACGGTTTTTTGTCGTTGTTTTGGTTTCTTTT